ACTGCATCAAAAGAAATGTCGAGTCTTCGACCACTACTGTAATGAACGATGGTGGATGGCATGACAACCCGACGGCAGCATTACCACAGTACGATAGTATAGTGCGACCACCAAGTGCAATTGAACCCCACACAGATCCCCCACTCCGAGAATCATGCCCGTTGGGGCGGACACAAAAGTCAAGTTTGACTATATTACCGGTAGTACAGTAACACTACGTTATACTATTCCGTTTGGAAAATCTACCGGTAACGATATGAGGGCGGTAACTGGAATTTGCGTCATGTCAGTCCTGCCTCCTCCAAGCCCACAGCCAGTCCCTGCCGCCGAGCTCCCTGCGCAACAGGCGACGCTTGAGCCCGATGGCATGTCCAGCACCGAATGGCTGAAGAACGTCAGGACTGTTGTCGCGGAGGACACACTGTACTGCGACGACTACAGCGTGACCGTCCCAGCGCAGAGGATGATCACAGCATACCACGTGTCCGGCGTCAAAGGGCTAACGCTGATCAACACTAACGTGTGCGACTCGGACCTTCGCGACGGTCTTCTCTTGGGCCTGAGCGCTGCAAGCTTCACGACAACCGTGAACACGTACAACGGTCGGCGGGATTTTCTCTCTATTACGCCGTACCCTCGGTCAGCCAAGCTGGACAGTCGCAGCCATCGATACACGATGACGTTTGACCCGAACATGTTTTCCAAGTTCCATATGGCTCAAACAACAGAGCGAGGGGTGAGGCAAGTGCACTATTTGCTGTTAGCCAAGGCCGACCCCTTCGAGAGCCGCCTCGCGGGCTTCGTCCACGCTTGTCATCCCCTCCTTCTAAATCGCATGTGGACCAAGTTCTTTCCTCAGGGTCAAGCGAACGATTACAACCAACACAAGACCGTCGTAAATGTATTCTTTGCCCACCGTGTGGGTGTAGAATACCGCGACCGCGTGAGGAAAGTAGGTGACGCCTTCGAAATCGAGGCGGTCGAGCCGTCGATATGGTACGATCGGTTGTTGGCACATGCTGTGCGCAAGAAGCGCGTGGCGGCTGTCACGAGTTGGCTCCTTTCGCTGG